CGACCCCTCCTTGGGTTTCCAAGGCAGTATCACTACGGAAGTAGGATTGCCCAACCTTCCTTCTGAGGAGTGGCTGGTGGGTTTGAACCGCCAGCCGTCTGGTTAGCAGGCAAGTGTCTTAGCCACTATGCTACCAGAGCTCCCGAGTTTACATTAGTGGTGGTGAAATGATTTGGAAAAGGATATTGAGAATGGCTGTACAACATAAAGAATGTAATCATTGTCACTGAATTATACATGTATAAATTGTTAAATTGGCAAATGTTTTGTCGCATATATTTTCAGCACAAAATTTTTTAAAAAGCATATAATGAGGATCTACTCTAGATTCGGTGGTCCAAGAGGGCTTCCCTGAGAAGGTGACATCGTGACATTTGAGATGAGACCTGAAGTATAAGAAGGACCCAAACACCAAAAAAAAAAAAAAAAAAAACCCACTGCTGCAAACCAATTCTGACTCATAGTGACTCCCATTGTGTTTCCAAGGTACATCTTTACAGAAGTAGATTGCCTCATCTTTGTTCCACGGGGTGGCTGGTGGGTTTGAACCGACAACCTTCTGGTTAGCAGTCAAATGCCTTAGGCACTGTGCCACCAGAGGAAAAAGCACCTAGTCTCATGCAAATCAGTGAAGGGGAAATTTGTAGCCAGAGGACAGCCCATCCAAAGGCAGGAGGCAGGGGGTTTGAGGAACTGCAAGGAAGCCAGTGTGGCTGGAGTGGAGTAAATCAGGAGAGGGAAACCAGGGGCAGCTGAAAAGGTCAGCAGGGCCTGCAGGTCATGAAAGGAAATGTGGGCAATTAAGGGGCTTTGAGTTAAACCTGAAGAGCGGTGGGAAGCCACTGAAGCATTGAAGTCCTCCAAGCAGCTGAGGACAGATTATAGAAGCAGAGAGACCCTTGGCAGATGCCACATTCATCCTCCAGGCCAGAGAAGGGTAGGATGGACTGACAGTGGCAGTGACATTGGATAGATCCTAAAGTTTCAATGTGCATCTAGGCCTCCCTGTGCTCTGCCTCCACTACCTAGGAACAGGGCAGCTGGGGCAGGAGCCAGCCAACACCCACTTAGGTTGGCACATCCAGCACTGCCCTGAACCAGGACAAGAAAGAGCCTAGGGCTCCAGGCTTTTGGTCTCTCTTGTGAGCACTGATGAGCTCCAGGCTGAATCAGGGAAGAGGCCAAAGAGACAGAGCAGGCCAGAACAAGAGGCAGGGAATTAAACAAAGAGAGAGCCACAGAGTGAAGCAAGAACAATGAAAAGTGACGAGAGGATTCCCTGGGTGGCTCAAACAGTTATGCGCTCAAGTATAACTGAAGGGTTGGTGGTTAAACCTGCCTAGAGGCTTCTTGGAAAACACGCCTGCTGATCCACCTCCGAAAGTATAGGATACAATGGACTATTACTCAGCCATAAAGAGAAATGGGGTCCTGATGCATGCAAAGGTTACAGCCTTGAAAACCCTATGAACGGTTCTACTATACACACATGGAGTCACCCTGAGTTGGAATTAACTTGATGGCAATTAACAACAACATTGTATCCTATACTTTCGGAGAAGAAATAGCCACAGATGCAGTTTGCAGAGTTCTCTCATGGAAGTCTCGTGTCAGGTGTTTCACCAATCCAGAGTGTGGAACTCGAAGTTCAGTGAGCATAAGACACTTGACCCAGGTCAAACAGCTAGTAAATGGTAGATCTAGGACTCAAACCCAGGTCTCACTGATTCCAAAATCCTCTAGTCTTTATACAGGGGAAGACGGGTGTGATTAGATGGAGGGAGAAAGAGCGCACAGGTAGACAAAAGAGAAAATTCTGCTTTACTTTAAAACCTCTATCATACCGAAAAGGAGAGGGGAGGGAGGAGATCCGGGCCTGGAATGACTGCCCTGACTCTGAGGAATAGGCGACAGCACCACAGACAGTGCCAGGTCATAAGGAAATTCAATTACCTGCAACTCATTGAACATTTATGACACCTACTCTTGCCAGTCCCCATATTGGGTGCTAGCGTCATGGAGATGAACCAAAGTTGGCCCCACTCTTGCCCGGAGGGAGAAGTAGGCAGATAAATAACTAAGAGTGTCCTGAAGGCTATAAAACCAATCCAGAAAATACTGGGAAGGCAGAAAGGCAGCAGAAGTTGACTCAGTGTAGGAGGTTAGAAAACAACACCAAGGGAATGCTATCTAAACCTGGAACTCCCCAGGTAGGCAAGGCAGGGAAGAGCATTTCAGGCAAAAGGAACAGCCTGGGTAAAGCCAAAAGACAAGGAAGTACTGGGAAGGGTGGGCATCAGATACGGTTGGATCATGATCCAATGGCAACAGCTAAAGCTGGAAAAAGTGTGGGAGAATATGAAGGATCTTAACTGCAAGGCCAGGACAACTGGACTTGAACCCCTGAATCAATGGTTCTCAAATTGTATCCCTGGGGGAAACCAGGTGTCCCTCAATCCAAGCTGAAAGGTCCTACCATTAAATTAAAACCGTAGCCTTCTTTTCCTAGCTTGCAAGAAGGCAGATTAAATTATAATGAATAGAATTTTCTTGGTTCTAAGGTGTTTTTCCTCCATACATTTTTCTGAAGACTTTAATGCATGTCAATTATGTGAAAGAATAATAGAATTAGCATACAATCATATGTCTTGGGTTTTTTGGTTTTGGTTTTGTTTTTTACAATTTTAAATTTAATGTGTCAATAGTTCATTGTGTTCCACAAAGCACTGTGACTTCCAGTTTCTCCCTAAGTATTTAGAGTCATGGAAGAAGAGCTTGAAGTAAAGGAAAGACAAAATCCGATATTTTTGTTAGAAAATAAAATCATTCTGGAGACTTGGGGGGAAAAAAAAAGAACTGCGGAGGGACAGATAGGGGGAAAGGATACCAGCAAAGGAGAAGGCTGTTGACAAGATGAAACAAGAGCTGATGGCCTGGCCTGATGGTGAGGGAGGTGGGGATGGAGGGGGGAAATTCCAGAGCTGAGGAGGGAGATCTGCTGGACGGTTCTCCAGGTCTTCTGGCTAGGCTACTTAAGGAATTTGGGAGAAGGAGTCAATCTGGTAGGAAAAATCATTTCAGTGGCTCAGTGTCATTTAGGGAAACTTAAACAGAAGACTACTTTTGTACCTCCTGGTATAAGTAGGCCTGTGTGGCACCACAAAAATAGAAGGAGAGCAGGATCAGGGTGTGTATGTGTGTGTGTGTACAGCTACAACTGTAGACTACCCATCACAAACACAAACTTTCTCTAATAATAATAACAAGCACTTACATTGATTATTTCCTATGAACCAGACCCTCACCTGAGTGCTTTACATGTGGTACCAAAAACCAAACTCACTGCCGTGGAGTCAGATCCGATTCATGGTGACCCCTCCTAGAGTTTCCGAGGCAGTATCACTACGGAAGTAGATTGCCCAACCTTCCTTCCAAGGAGTGGCTGGTGGGTTTGAACCGCCAGCCTTCTGGTTAGCAGTCAAGCGCCTCAGGCACTATGCTACCAGAGCTCCTTTGGTAACATTGGGACCATGCCATTTTATTTGTCAACCTTGGGCTTGTTAGCCTCAGCAGCCTCTCGCTGCCTGAGTAAAGAGATGCCTCTAGCTTCAGTGAGCTGGGAGCAAGAGGCAGAGCGAAAGCCCAAAGGGTTGAGGGGCTTCCACCCAGCCTCTAGAGCCTAGCACCTTGAACTTGGACTTAAAGCCTTTAAATTGTAAGAACAAACTCCTGTTTGTTAAGATCATCCCATTTGTGGTATATTCTTATCAGAGCAGCACTAGGTAACCAGAACAGCTGCTTACCAAAAGGTTGGCAGTTTGAATCACCCAGAAGCACCTCAGAAGAAAGGCCTGGAAAGCCTGAAAGATCATAGCTATTGAAAACCCTATGGAGCACAATTCTGCTCTGAGCCTGCAGTTCTACTCTGAAACACACGGGGTTACCATGAGTCAGAATCGACTTGATGGCAACTGGGGTTTTTGGTGGTGGTGGTGGTGCATGTGTGTGTTTGAAGACTGGGAATCACAAGGCTGGATCCAACAGCACTTCCTCCGTTCCCCTACCCCCACCTATTCCAGGATCATTTCTCCTTGACTCCAGCAGTACACCCTGTCATGCTCTTATATTCAACTGGGCTTCAGTTAGTTGTGTCTATGTCTTCCCTCCCCTAAAAAATGAAACCTAGCATCTTTACTGGGTTACACATTTTGACAAACCACTTCTATTGCCCTACTTAATACCTTTCTAGACTGTAAGAATTTTGAGAGGGAGAACCTCTCCTTATGACTGCTCCCTTATATCCTAATACACTTAGCATTTTACAAAGCATCTTCACACCTACAATAACATTATTCCATTGCATCATCCAGTCCTCACAATAATCTCGAAGAAGACAAACAGACTGGAGTTTCAGTCACCTGCCCAAGGTGGCTCAGTTAGGAAAGTAGCAAAGCCAGGTTTTGAACCCAAATCGTCTAATTCCAAGCTCAATACTCTCATCTCCATATCAGCTTACACTCTACTCAGTGTAGGGAAGTAGGCTTTGCCTCTCTACATCTTTCCATGTAGTGGGGTGGGGGTCAAAAGAGACATGCCTGCTAAAAGCCTGGCACAGTGAGCACTCAGTAATAGCAGAAAGAAGGGAAAACTGAGGCCGGGGAAGGTACAATGACTTCTCCAAATCAAACACCTAAGTGCAGCCCCGGTTGTAGGCACAGCTTTAGAGCAATCCTAGACTTCTCGTTGGGAGAGCTGGTTTGGCACATTTGGAATCTCAGGTACCCCCCCACTTTCCACTCCGTCTCTCCAAGCTGTCTCCCCAGATGCCACCTCATGGGCTACGTAGGAAAAAAACGTCCTTTTAACTGAAGGGGGGTGGGGGGAACGCACCCGCGGGTGGGGCTTCACCTAGAGGCGGGGCGGGAGGCGGGGAACAGGAGCGCAGTCGCGGAAGGATGACGTATCACGGGTCGCCGGGTTCTATGTTGGCTGAGCGGAGAATGTGGGTTTACGGCGCGCTGTGCCGGGCACGATCCCTGGCCCGAGTGCAGCAGGAGTTGTTTTCGGCTTCATGGCGCCGCGGTCCGGCTTGCTCCTCCTACTCCGCATCTGACGATCCCTCCCGGGTCCAGGCACTGGTCTATGGGCTCCATGGGGACCCAGCCAAGGTCGTCGAGTAAGAGGCAACGTCGAGACGGGGGAAGAGACCGGGTGTCCTGATGTGGTTTGAGACGGGCTGGGGAGAAGTGCGGCTAAGAAGAGAGGGACAGGGTCCGAGGAGGGGGCAAAGAATTGCAAGACTAAAACTGTAGCCCACGGAGTGTTTGGTAGCTCAAAAAGTACGTTCCTCAAAGTAGCTGAAGACCCAAGGGGCATAATTGGAAAACCAAACCCACTGCCATCGAGTCGATTCTGACTCATAGCGACCCTGTAGGACAGAGCAGAACTGCCCCATAGGGTTTCCTAGGCTGTAAATCTTTACGGAAGGAGACTGCTTCATCTGTCTCCTGCAAAGCAGCTGGTGAGTTGGAACCGCAGACCTTTTAGTTCGCAGCAGAATGCTTTAACTACTGCTCCACCAGAGCTCCTGGGGCACAATTATAATGGTAATAATCTAACTAATAATGAATGGCATTATTAATTGCGTACCATATGTCAGACAATCCCTTGTTTAAGTAGATTCATTTGAGGGTAAGTACTTGATTTATCCCCATTTTGCAGAGAATGCTGAGGTGTAAGAGAGGTAAAGTCACTTCCCCAAGGTTACACAGGCAGTAACTGATGGAGTTGGCATTTGAACCTGGGTCTGACTGACTGACTTGAGTTCTTACCCTCTATTATTTTTTGGTGTCTATAATTCCATGCATCCGTGGAGGGGATTTTCAGGATGTTTTTAAGTCTGTTATTTCGTGTGAAACTCAGCCTCTCAGTAAAGTAGGTCAGAGATCAGGTTCCATTTTATGGAGGGCAGGTGACTTGTCCAAGGTGATATGACCAAGGAATTCATGGTTCCTGACACCTGTTTCATGTAATGTCCTCTCCACTGTATTGTATATGCACTTGACTTAGTAAAAAGAGCTCCAGTTTTGGAGCCATACCAACCTAAGGTCAAATACAGACTCAGTGTCTTAGGAGCTGTTTGATCTTGGACAAGTCACTCAGCCTCTCTGAGCCCTCCTTTATGACTGTGCCCTCCTTCTCAAATTCCTTTGGATATTAATGCATGAATTTTGCATGTTGTTGATAAAAACAGTATGAGTTGTCAGCGGTTATTTATCTGCACATAAATAGCTTTAACCATTTAGAGAAATGAATGGAGCTACTGGAGTGGAGCTAAAGTGAAAGCACTGGTCTGGAAATCAGAGAAACTGGAGTCAAATGCCTGCCATCCCCTGTCCTAGCTGTGTGTATGTGGCAAGTTACGTAGATTCTTTGAGCTTCAGTTTCATCATAGTTATCTTTGGAGATAGTACAGTGTAGCTCAAAGTGCTGACCACCTGAAACCAATCAAAGGTGCTACACCAAAAAGCGCCTGAATGCTTTCCTCCAGTCCCTTGTTTACAACTCTGCTTTGATTCCCAGCAAATCGTTTGATTGTTTTCCAAGGGATAAGCAAACATGGAATTATTTTAATGGTTAAAATCCAGGCTGCATGTTTGGACAGCTGAAAGGGATATACCTCAGATAGATTCAAGGTCATGCACTCAACCTAGCCACTTGCACAGTTAGATCAATTGGAAAGAATGCTGAGAAGACACATCAGTCAATAAACCCCAAATTGTATGTTGATCGAAGGTAATGAATCACTGTGACAGGAAGACATCTCCCCGAGGACTCTGCTGTAATGGGCCGGTAAAGCTCTGGTGAGCATTCCTCCATTTCCAGGAATGCACCTCAAATGTGGGAACAGCTTAGTGATTTGCTCACAGGCTTGTAATTTATGTGTCTAATGCAGGACCTGCCACAGTGTTGGTTAAATCTGAATCAAGTGTCAGATGTGCACCTTCTGTTGAGTTCTTACTATGCTCATTTGTAAAAGAAGGGAAGTGTGAGGTGTGTGATGAGGAGGAAGGCATCTTAGATATCCAGGGACTCTCAAGAAGGGCCTGGGAGAGTTAGGTAGAAGGAAAGTATTTGACAGAGCTAAGGGCAATCCCTCTGGATTGAGGGTAGCTGGAACAAACTGGTCTGGTGGCAGATGCCACTTAACAAACAAAGGCAGCTTCTCTTGTGCCCATATGTGGAGCCATAGGTAATTTCCCGAAAGTCCCGTAAGTGTCCATGACACTTCCATGAAGCATTGTGTTCAACTTGGCTTCAGGTCTCAGTTGTGGAGCTTTTAGAAACTACATATTTCTAGACCCCACCACTGAGGTGCTTCATAGGTCTAGGGTGGCCCCTGAGCATCTCTGCTTTTTAAAGCTCTCCAAGTGACTGATGTCCAGGCTAAGGTTGGTTGGTTTGTAAACAATTATATCAGCCATGTTTTGACCATAGGTTATTGCAAAGTTGAAAAAAATCATGGATGTTATATTGGCATATCTATGTAAAATTGATCCCTCTAGGGAAGATTAGGCTGATTATTCTAGGAAGCCACAGTGCCTAAGGCATTTGACTGCTAACCAGAAGGCCGTTCAAACCCACGAGCCCTCCTTGGAAGGAAGATTGGGCAATCTACTTCCGTAGTGATACCACCTCAGAAACCCAAGGAGGGGTCACTATGAGTCGGGATCAACTCGATGGCAGTGAGTGAGTAGCATAACTGGCTCTGTTTCCTCAACTGGTTTTTTACTTGAATGGCAAAGCTAATTGGGCTCTCTGTAATGGGCAGGGCTTGTTGCCTGTGAGTTGAACTTTAAAAGAAGCAGGAAGCTAGCTAGTAGACGTTCCCCTTCCACTCCAGGTGTCAAAATAAGAAACATATTACTTTACATCACCAGCATCCACCCTAACATTGTTCTTTCCATTTCTTTCTTTAATGTTTATTATCAATTTTATTTAACTTTTTATTGTGGTTTGGGTGAAAGTTTGTAAACATAATCGTTTTCCATTCAACAGTCCATACACATTTTATTTTGTGACATTGATTGCAATCCCCAGGGATTGCCCTGTGGTATAGATTATCAGGCAAGCAGTAATTGTCCATGTGCCTCAGAAGGAACACTCTCCCTTCTGACCCAGATTCAGGTGACATGTCTTATAAGATTGAGGGTGACCACACTGTCAAAGAATGAATCAGGTGTCCTTCACACATCCTGGTGACTGGATGTCTGGGTCAGGTTATGCCAGGTCGAGTCATAGAACTACCCAATGTCCAAGCAGAGCATTCCCCAAACTGCTGTGGTATGTGATGCTACACTGTAGGCCAGAGCTCTGGGAGGGATGCGGTACAGTCTGCCAGGTTTGAAGGGCTATCCAAGCCAAATGCCATTGAGTCAATTCCAACTCAGTGACCCCTGTTGGGTTGCCAAGATTATAAATCTTTATGGAAGCAGATTACCTCATCTTTCTTCTGCAGGGCAGCTGGTGGGTTCGAACCACTGACTTTTTGGTTAGTAGCCTTAAACCGCTACACCACCAGAGCAGTTCCTTGAGGAGTTATGGAACTCCTCAGTGTGAGGCCCCCAGGTATCTCCTGTTCTCGTCTCTGTTTTGAATGTCCCTCTTCACTCCTTTAGCCCCCAACATTCCAGCTGTTTTTGCCTCTATTAAACCATTCACCCCTGTCTCTCAGAATTTCTCTCCCTTCTCCCATAAAACAGTTCTCCTAAATACTTGGGCCTTTTCACATAAAGCAGGGAGCTCTGGTAGCCTTGTTGTTGTTGTTATGTGCCGTCGAGTCAGCCTAGTGGGTAAGATATTTGGCTGTTAACAAGGTCAGTGGTTCAAACCCACCAGCTGCTCCATGGGAAGAAGATGAGGCAATCTATTTCCATAGAGTTGGAATTGACTCGATAGCAGTGGGTTTGGTTTGGTTTTTTTGCTTAAAGGATTTAACTGTTAATGTAAATAAAGTAAGACTGCAGAAGAAAATTACAAGCATGGGAAAGTTACAAATACAGACATTTCAGACATAGGCCATTGTCCCTGGGTAGAGTTCTGGATTCTCTTTACCAGATAGTTCTTAGAAAACCTGATGTCCTCTTTCCTTTTGATCCTGGAAGTCCCCTCTCAGGACTTCGCCATTCTCAGGTATTATGGTAAAACAGCTTTCATTTATCATATACCTACTATGTGGCAGACATTGGGCTAAATTCTCTACATATACTGTGGCATTTAAAAATCACAATAGCCCAGTTTGATCATTGTTATCCCCATTTTACAGATAAGGGAACAGACCTGAGAAGATTAAGAGTCACTTGCCCAATATCATACAACTAGGATGCCCTTTATTAAAATTCCTTGATACAGACATAAACCTGAAGAAATGATAACCATGTCAAATGGGGTGTAAAATTGGTAATGAGATGAGTTAAAAGAGAAGGTGAAATTATAGGTCATTCTGGTGACCCCAAGTCTCTTCATAGGAAGAGCAGCCCGACTCTGGGGAAGACAGTAGAAATACCTTCCTCTGTCTCCTCCCCTTTTTAGCATCCTGGGGCTTTCATGAGACAGCATCCTAATCATCCTGGCTTTCTCTCCCACTTGCTGCCAGTACAGAGTGAGTTTCTGAAACTACACTGTGAAGCCCATGGGCATATCTCACTCTGTCTCAGGCTAGGGGGAACCTGGGAGAGCAGGTCATGACTTCTCACTATAGAGCACTGTTTCCCACAGGGTCCTCTTTTCACAGTGGATGTCAGTGTTTTTTAAGACAGAATTATTACAGTTTGGAAAAAACTTAGCATTGTGGTTTGATGCTCTGTAAAACTGTTTTTGGTGTTTTTTCTTAAGTCTGCTGGGTTCTTTATTGTAGACATGACTGAAAGGAGAGGGAACAGAACTCATTAGTTTATTTAGCCAGCATTTATTACTTGAGGGCCCACTAAGTGCTAGGCACTAAGGAGGCAGAGATGATAATATGTGATCTTCACCCTCTAGGGACTCTCTGTCTAGTCCGGGAGATGGGCAGCTGTAGCCCTGTGGGGTGAGTGTTATGATAGGAGGTGGTTGGAGGGCTGTGGACACACAGAAAAGCGACACCTACCATATTTTTACACAGCCCTCCCCGCCCCC